TCAACCGCACAGCAAGAAACGTGAAGGGGCCTTTTGCAAGGAGGAGAGTAAACGCTTTTCAAAAGGATGTGTAAGTCGAGCAGTGTCTCACTTGTGAGTGGCAAAATGCTGACTAGTACGTTGGAGCTCGCTTTGCACACACTTCATAGAGGAGGCAGCTGCGTGCGACACGGTAGCCCATGCTACCTAGCATTGTTCGCAACGCACGGTGCTATACAGGATGTGCGCATAAATGCAGGATAGGGCGAAACTGTGTAGTTGACACTGCACTGGAGTTGGCTGGTGTAGCGTTGTGTTTTGGCTGGCTTGTGCGGGCATGCTTAGCGGCGAGGGCATAGGATGTACACTTTGTGTGGCAAGAATGGGTGGGTGGGTCGTCCGTAAGTGTTTGCAGGGGAGGGTGCAGACATAGTATGTACCGAGTTGTTTGCTAACGGTTGGGTGCTAGGTATGTGTTGGGGTGGGTGCCTTGGCGCAGACCAATAACAGCATCGGGATTTGGAGCAAGGTTGGTTCCCGTTTGGTCTGGGTGATTTTTGACCGGTACGGCCGCCATGCCTTTTTACCTGTGAAGTTTGCGCCTCCTTCGTGACGCAACTGTCTTACCTTAGTTTCCCCTTTTTCTCCAGTGCTATCTCAGTTGACAGGAAATTCTGGGAGACTTCGTGGGCTGTGAATGCCAGTCCTACTGGAAGCGCCCGCCGCTGTCGAGAGCGTCATGCTAGTGGGGAGGCACGAGCGATAAGGTATTTGTGTGAGGGAAAGGCGCACGCAGAGGTATATTAAGCCTATATGAAGCCGCAAGGCATGCTATTATAGAATGACATTTGAGAAATTTTTGCTGTCTGTAGCATGACGTTACTGAAGTTTACGAGTCAGAGCAGAATGGCGCTCATGGCGCTCAAGGCAGGCGTTTTGTGCAGAGTGCAGTAGCCATGTCTCTGAGGCATGGAAGAGTTCAAGCGCTGCAAACGAATGGGGAGATGCGTGTGGCGTGGGCTATAGCTGATGCGGCAGTAGGTTGACAACGCCATTGTTGGCTGTGAGAAGCCGTGTGGAATTCAACGTCTTTCAACCAAACGAAGACACTTGATGCGACGCCTTTCTTGCACGGTGTGGTGACCCATTTTCGCAGTTTGCATTTAGGCCCCGGCAGGTGTGTGCCTTGAATTGAGGCTCATTGACAAAATGCCTCAGCGCCTGTGTTACTGACGTCTTCATGAGCCAAGAGGAGGCAAGGGGAAAGCTCGCACGCGTGCGGAAATACACGTCTGCACAAGCGACAGCAGCAGACGCCGGCATTTGCCAACGTTTGTCAGTCATAGACGATGCGCTGGAGGTGCACTATTTGGAGGAGCTCAAAGAGCAGAAGCAGCTTGTCTGGAAGGTATTGAGGTGGGATTATCTGCGTCTGTGCTAGGAAAGTAGTTGAGCGTGATGTGAATTTGAGGTGTGTAGCGTGACGCAGCCTAGCGTTCCACACAGGAAGTGCGTCTCTAGACTAAACATTGGGGGACCGAATGTGCAGAGAAACATCATTGAATCTAACACACCGGGCGCCATTTGCCAACGTTTGTCAGTCATAGACGATGTGCTGGAGGTGCACTATTTGGAGGAGCTCAAAGAGCCGAAGCAGCTTGTCTGGAAGGTATTGAGGGGCAAGGGGAAGTTTGCACACGTGTGGAAACACACGTCTGCGCAAGCGACAGTAGCAGACGCCGACATTTGCCAACGTTTGTCAGCCATAGACGATGTGCTGGAGGTGCACTATTTGGAGGAGCACAAAGAGCCGAAGCAGCTTGTCTGGAAGGTATTGCGGTGGGATTATCTGCGTCTGCGCTAGGAAAGCAGTTGGGCGTGATGTGAGTTTCAGGTGTGTAGCGTGACGCAGCCTAGCGTTCCACACAGGCAGTGCGCCTTTAGACTAAACATTGGGGGACCGAATGTGCAGAGAAACATCATTAAATCTAACACACCGGGCACATCAACAAGCGTGGCTGCTGCAATTGGTTGT